TCATATTCTCTTTCAGTATTCCTTCTAATAACCCTATTTTATTTAAGACTGTTCCACAGGCTCAGCTAAGTTAAGTGACATGCAGAGAGTCATAGGATTAGTAAGTAGAACTGGAAATCATAACCAGGTTCATGTCTTTGGTATATTATTTCTCTAGGGCCCTACCAGGTCCCATTCACGTAGAGATGTCCCTGATCTTAAAAGTCTGAACTTCTCCTCAGTCTTTCCTTCCACTCCACAGACATCAGGAAATTACAAATCAAAACTGTCTAGACTGGGCTTTGGCAGGACCCCAGGATGGGGACCAAAGGTACAAACTGAATATAGGAGATGTTCTCTTTTCTCAGTGCTTTTCTTTCCTAGTTAGTTGTATTGCATGGGATGTGTCTTGGGAATTTGTCCTAACTGTCCCTTACAGTAGAGGCATAGCTTCTAAACAATCTGGAGCTCATCTGAGGCAGCACCTCTGCCATCATATCCAAGGCATGAGACATACCACAGAACTACTTGTCTAAGAAAGTGTAATATGGTGGTTAGAGCTCAGTCTTAGAAATCAGATCAGTCTATATTTAAATATGAACTCTCCTAATTATTGTATTTTGAGTCTTGACCATGATACTCAAAGTGAGCATCAACTTCCTTCTACACAAAGTGGAAATATTAACACCTCACTTATGAGGATTATGTGAAAATCAGACAACATACCAGACTAAGCAGAGTGACTGATAAAAAGTACTTATTAGCTGTTAGTTCTCATTGTACATGGACTTTATCTACTGCAACCCTTTTAAGGAGTCTCAGCTTCCCTGTCTGATTCTTTAGTACAAAGATGATCAAATACTCATAGAAATATTTTAGAATTGTGATGGCCTATGAATCAGTATTCAACACTTCAAAACGTGACATTTCTTCTCCCTTAATTTCTGCATAGGCCCAGAGTTCTATAAACCATAAGAGAAAACAAGAAAAGCTACATATATGAGTTGAGGTAGTTTTGCTAGAAACCTGGATTGGGCACACCATGAGCTCTGATCTTCTAAACGGAAGGTGACAACAGACAATAAAACTTTCCTCCATGCTGGGTATCATTCTAAGTATTTTGCATCTGTTATCTCATATAACTCCTGCAACAGGTATTGTTATCATCCCGTTTTTAGAGATGTGGAAAATGAAGTGTAAAGAGATTGAAAAATTTGACTGAGTTTGCATAGTTAGGAAACGTTGTACACTGAAGTTCTTGCTCTTAAGCATGATTCAGATTGTTAGTATTAGAAAGCAGTTCCTCTGTCCCACGTGTTTCTATCTTTAGAGCATCAAGACTAGAATGATAATTCTGCAGTGACCAGGTATTTTGACATTTTATCTTACTCAATTCATCCTATGACTCTGTGAAACAGATATTATTAGGGTAGATTGATAGGCTCTGACTGGCTGCTGCACACATAACTACAACATCCTGTGCCTTCCTTCCCAGACTCTAAGATCACTTCCCAATCACAACCATTGAGAGGCTGCTAAGCCAACCCAGCTGACTCTCCCCCTTAGTCACAAGTGTCTTGGTCACAGGAGAGAACGAGATGAACTGGTTCAGCTGCCATTTTGGCTGAAGCTGCTAATTCTAATCCTCTGGGAGGTGAGAGGTTAGAGCATCCCTAACTCCTTGCACTCAAGTGATAACTTTAAATATTTCCCTGAAATCTCACATGAACATATTGATAATGGTGAGGTTCCTGAGTCTAGAAGACCATACAAGGACAATTTTCTGGATAACAGATGCTGTTCAGTTCTGATTTTCCAGCCCATTTGGATCCAGTCTCCCGGGGACCAAAGGAACTATCTATCTCTATAATAAACACTGGCTTTCTAAGAAAATGGCATAAAAGAGCTAACTCAGGGACCTGCTGCAACAAGGTAATTTTCATTTGTTGCTGAGTTTATGGTGCTGATAACCCCTAATTTTTCTGCTTTAACATAGCTTCCTATTTCCAGAGCTTTAAATCAGATTAGAGCTCAGATCAGGTGGCCTTTATGATATGCTTCATCTGATCACCAAAAGAGCAAGAAGGGAAACTGCGTAGCAAGGAGGTTTGAAAAGAGAAGTCCTCCAAAGGTTAGGTCTGTCCCTATTTCTATTGAAGCCTAAAGCTTTGGAAATTTTCTAATTAAATAAATTCATTATCTGCACTGAGATGCTATTGTCCACACTCTCAGGATGGTGTGAGCCTATAGAACAAAAATAAATTCAGCCTATGACCTCAGTTTTATTTAGGAAATCTCTCCTAGTAATTATTTTCAAATCACTACTAACTCACTAGGAGCTCTGGTGGCATAGTGCCTAAGGCATCTGACTGCTAACCAGAAGGCTGGTGGTTCAAGCCCACCAGCCACTCCTCTGAAGGAAAATGGGGCAATCTACTTCCATAGTGATACTGCTTTGGAAATCCAAGGAGGAGTCGCTATGAGTAGAAATCAATGTGATGGCATATTACAACAGCAACAATTAACACTGCTGGCGAGTTGTATCTGACTCATAGTGACCCCACCTTGGGTTTCTAAGGCGGTATCACCATGGAAGTAGATCACCCACTCTTCCTTCCCAGGAATGGCTGGTGGGTTTGAACCACCAGCTTTCTGGTTAGCAGTCAAATGTTTTAGGCACTATGCTACCAGAGAGGAAAATACTATACTTAAGCTGAAAATGGAGGAACCTAAAAGCAGCAGTTAGTTAGGGGCGAGTGATTGCTAAGTCCATGCAAAATGTTGTCTACAATTACAATGCTTTGTCATGGATGAGTCTGTTAACTTCTTCCACAAATATATTCAGAGAGGTGGATACAAACTGTCGCTTCCTTATTATTATTTTTCTCTCAACTGACACATGACACTTTTAACTTAAAAGTGAGTTAAATTTAAACACTGTGACAGATTTTTATAAATAATGACCAGCATACTCATTCTACCTAGAAAAGCAGTCATGCAAATAGTTATGGGCCCACTGGGTCTCAAAAAATAAAAAAGTAAGACTTCTCTTTTTAACTCATGAAAAGAAGACTTACCTTGTTTTGAAAAATGTCTATAAATTAATTTTTAAATGTTAATTACTCCCATTTAGCTATACATAATTTTCTTTTAAATATTCTTTAACATTAATATCCTTCGGGGATTTGACCATATTCATAGTTCCTAAAGAATTTGACTGCTAACCAGAAGGCTGGTGGTTCAAACCCACCAGCCACTCCTGAGAAGGAAGTTTGGGCAATCTACTTCCATAGAGATACCATCTCAGAAACCCAAGGAGGGGTGACTATGAGTTGACTCGACTGGACCTCAGTTTTGTTTGCATTTTTTAAATATCAGCAAGCTTTTGAATTTATTTATCAAATATAATACTTTCTACTGTCCACTGTATTAATTTCTGCATTCAATTTTTCTTCCTAGTATAACAGTTTGCTCTTCTGATTTCATTTATCTTCTCTTAATTTCCAAGATGATATCTCTACAGAAGTAGATTGCACAATGTTCTTCTGAGAAGTGGCTGATGAGTTTGAACCACCAGCTTTCTGGTTAGCAGTCAAGTGCCTTAGGCACTACACCACCAGAGCTCCCCTTAATATTATAACAAGCAAATATTTCAAGAATAAAAATTTTGATATCTGAGTTTCTCATTTTCCTTCCTTTACCGGTAATTTAAAAGTGTGTGAAAAGCATATGTAGCATCATATTCAATGATTAGGAGCCACATTAGTTATTGGCGTTAGTCTTACCGAGCCTGAACCTTTTCATATAGAAAGCAAAACAGTTTCCACTGGGTTGATTGCAATACAATGAGGAAAATAACAATGATATGGATGAATTGAAAAATATTACTATCACTTATATCAAAGGTTGTAACATAACAGCAATATATATATATATATATATATATATATATATAGCTTTCCACAAGATTCTATGTTGTCTAACTCTTAAAAAACACATTATGCCAAATGAATTAGGGTGCTTTTGTTACTTGGAAGTATCTATTTTCTGGGCAGATGCAGAGGATATTTCATAATCTTCCTTACAATGAGTTTTGATTTGCAAAGACCCCTGAAACGAAATATGACAGAAGTTCCCCAAATAGTGAATTCTAAAAGCTTCAAATAAATTTGGGAGATGTTGTTATGCTTCTTCCAGAAGTGTTAGATAAAGAATCTGTGATAATCCTAGAACATTCTGTTTGGATGCACTTAAGTGAATAAATCTAACTGCCACAGCATGTCTTCCTGTGGCCTCAAACAGTCATTCAGTTCAGTTGATTCTGAAATATGACTCAACGTTCCCTAATTTCACACTGAACACACCTGATATTTTATAGTCACCCTGAGACAAGCTAAAAATAACAAGAATAACAAACTCTGCAGCTTCACCTCATCAGTCTGTGTGACCAGAGAAGGGACTGGCGGAGGTCAAGCCTCTGCTCCTCTTTATGGGTCTCATTTTTATTCCTGTTTTGCTCTAGGAAAGAATACTGTGGCAGTTATGGGAAGAGTATCTGTCCATATATAATTGCAGTTAAGATGCTGCACATGTCAAAGTCATAAACTGTGCTTGTGTGTGTGAATGAGTGTGTGTGTGTGTGTGAAAGTGTATTTGTGAGATGCATGTGTTTGTAGGTGAATGTGTGGAGGAGTATGTGTAACTGGATGTATTTATGAAGGTGAGAATGTGTATGTGCATGTGTGTGAATATGTGTGAGTGTGTTTGTTAGTGAATGTATGTAAGTGTATTTGTGTATATATGGTTTGAGTGTTCATATGCATGTGTAGAAGAGGGCTACATAGTTATATTATGTGACCAAAAATATAACCCAAATGAGTTTTTTGCTCAGTTTCCATCAATCTTACAGAAATCAAATCATTATTATGAAAATTATTTGCTTCATCAAAATTTACCTGCCACCATTGCAATTCCCATATTATTTGCAGATAAATCAATTATCCAGATGCCACACTGGATCCATGGAACAAGTGAATAATGTGACAGAATTCATCCTCCTTGGCCTGACACAGAACCCAGATGTGCAGAAACTTTTGTTCACTGTGTTTGCAGTCATCTACCTGCTCACCCTGGCAGGCAACCTACTCATTGTAGTGACCATCACCACCAGCCCATCCCTGGGATCCCCCATGTATTTTTTTCTGTTTTTCCTGTCCTTCATAGATGGCTGCTGTTCTTCTAGCATAGCCCCCAAAATGATTGCTGACTTACTGGCTGGAAAGAAAACCATCTCCTTCAGTGGGTGCATGACGCAGCTCTTTGCAGAGCATTTCTTCGGAGGAGTTGAGATCCTCCTTCTCACAGCGATGGCCTATGACCGCTATGTGGCCATCTGCAAACCCCTGCACTACATGATCACAATGAACCAGCAAGTGTGTGGCCTCCTGGTGGCCATGGCCTGGGCTGGGGGATTTCTTCATGCTCTGATTCAAACTCTTTTTGTGGTCTGGCTGCCCTTCTGTGGCCCCAATGTTATTGACCATTTCATCTGTGATCTGTTCCCTCTGCTGAAACTGTCCTGCACTGACACACGTACCTTTGGACTCTTTGTTGCTGCCAACAGTGGGCTGATGTGTATGCTCATTTTCTCTATTCTTATCACCTCCTATGTCCTCATCCTTTGCTCCCTAAGAACTCACAGCTCTGAGGGACAGCGGAAGGCTCTTTCCACCTGTGCTTCCCATGTTATTGTAGTTATCTTATTCTTTGTACCCTGTATATTTGTGTACCTTCGTCCCATGATCACCTTTCCCATTGATAAAGCTGTGGCCTTGTTTTATACTATGGTAACTCCCATGTTAAACCCTTTAATCTACACCCTCAGAAATGCAGAGGTGAAAAATGCAATGAGGAATCTCTGGAGCCAAAGAGGGATCATAGTTAAAACTTCATGTCAATAGAGAGATTCAAACAAAATCCATTCATGTTTAAGAACAAGTATGACTGATACATAGGATAATGGTCTTGATGTCAAGATAGGTGGGTTTAAGTATATTTTTTTTCTCCTTGCTATCTAGAATATTGCATTGTTCCTCTTTCATGAAATATAATATTTGATTAAATGACGACTAAAAACTCTTCCAATTGGAAACTTGTGTTTACAAATTGTTGATCAAAGGGACATTGCTAATCAACATCAAATGTCACAATGTATTAAAAAGTCATGGTATTATCTATCCGGTATAACAATCCAATGCACAGTTTCAGACATAGATTACATAACCAATAGGCCAAGTACTTGAAATATTTAAACAAAAAGGCCTGGTGGCTAATATTTTATTGCAAATGCATACTTTTATTTCCAACTACTAAATTCAAGATAGACTCAATAATGTGAGAGACAGGAATCAACCAGACCTGAATGGGTTTTGAGGAATGAGAGATTCATTAAGACTGGGCTCACTCAATTCCAAGGGGCACTATTTACATTGCAACCTTTCTGAGGCTCAGAATAAATTATCCCCTAATATTTCTAGTATTATTAATCTAATATTATTTTCTAATATAATGCCTAAAGATAATAAAGTATATAAAATCCTTCCAGGTACAGCCAGAGAGCAGCCCTGCACATGATAGGCTAAGGTGGAAGATATTTGTGGAGCACATTTTCTGTCAATGGCAGCCTACACAACTCTTCACCTCTGAAATACCTTTTACTGGATTTATTTGTGCCTTAACTAATAGGAATAAAAGCATCCAGAATAAAAGGGAGAGATTATGATATCTGAATAGTCAAGGCAGAAAGTCCACATATCCAAATGTGAAAAGAAAATTGCACACCAATTGTAGACGAAAGAGATGTAGAGTAATTTGAAATTTTGACATTTAAAATGCAATTCTAAGAGAAAAAATAAAGATAGAATAAGGGGATCCAGATCAGGGCCAAGACAGAAGCCTTGCAGATCTTAGCTATCTATTGTCATAAGAACTGTATTAACCCAAATGACTCCATAGTCAGCGACTGTTGTTGTTCTTATTGTTAGTTGTCATGGTCTTGGCTCTGACTGATGTGGGTCTTACGTAAATCAAAATGAAATGTTCCAGTCCTGAGTCACCTTTATGCTCATTGATATGTTTGAATCCATTGTTGCAGCTACTGTCAATTGAGGGCTTTCCTCATTATTGTGACCTTCTAATGTAGCTTATGTTAAATATGTAATGAAAAAGAAAAGAAGAGAAAAAGAAACACAGTTGCCATGGAGTCAGTTCCACCTGGTGACTCCATGCATTTCAGAGCAGACTTGTGCAGAGTGTTTAGATGACTGTGACATTTCAGAGCAGATCACAAGGCTTTCTTCTGAAGTGACTCTGGGTGCATCCAACAGCCAATCTTTCAGTTTGTAGCCAAGTGCTTAATCATTTGTGCCACCTGAGGTCTCCTAAAAGATGAACATTCAATCATTTAAGAAACAATTCATTCCAAACTGCAAGATCGATGTCCCTCAATTTTCAGCCAACCTACTTGTGATTGGCCAAACATGTGATCCCCGTGTTCCTACCAGTTTCCAGTCCACTTGTATTTAAGTAGGACTCTGTGACTAGCTCACAGCAATGATGTGTGTCACATCCTAAATGAAACTTTTAGAAGCCAATGTGCTACTGTCCAGCTTTCTTTTTTCCTGATGCAGTAAGCCCAGAGGATGCATATTGAGGTGGGAGGTTTACCCAGAGAATATAACCTGGATTGCTGAGTAGTTACATGGAGGTCAGCCACTCCAGATATCACCAAGCCTTCAGCAGATTTTGCCAGAAAAGGAAATAAAATTTTAAAAAACCACTAAGATTTCAGGGTTCATTTTTTACTGCAGAAAAACACAGTTTATCCCCACTAATGCATAGACTAACTTTATCTTTTAAAAAAATTATAAAAATTGAGAAGACAGCAGGTTAAGATAACTTTTGCAATTATCTTCATTCTTAAGTAGTGCCAGATAGATAAATAGAAACTTACAAAACCAAGTCAAAACAGAGCCTTATTTTTGCTTCAGTATAACACACTGCACTAACTGAAGTATTCAAACTGTAAATTTCTACACTCTCTTCTTTTTCAGTTTACCTATCTGGCAAGATGATACTGAAGAAAGTTGTGCATTCCGATGCTGAGGAGTCCCAACAGAAAATATGAACTGCAATGTGAAGCAGGTCCTCAGTGCTTCTGGAGCAACTTTCCTGACTGTTCCGGACTCTTCTACATGTTATTCTTAGCATATGTTCCAATTTTTCACCAATTCTGTAGAGTCCTTTTCCCACCACTTTTTCTTTTATATCAGGAGAATTGGGAGCTCTGGTGGCGTAGTGCCTAAGGCATTTGACTGCTAACCAGAAGGTCAGTGGTTCAAACCTACCAGCCACTCCTCAGAAGGAAGATTGGGCAACTTACTTGTGGTGATAAAACCCAAAAACCCGCTGCCATCGAGCCAGATCCGACTCATAGTGACTCCTCCTTGGGTTTCCAAGGTGGTGGAGTTGTTGTTGTTCTTAGGTGCTGTCAACTCGTCTCCGACTCACAGCGACCCCATGCTCAGCAAAATGAAACACTGCCCAGTCCTGAGCCAGCTCCATGATCCTTGCTATACTTGAGTCCATCGCCACTGCCACTGTGTCAATCCATCTCGTTGAGGGCCTTCCCCTCTTTCATTGACCCTCTACCTTACCAAGTATGACATCCTTCTCCAGGAAATGGTCTCTTCTGACATCATGACCAAAGTAAGTGAGATGAAGTCTGGCCATTCTCACCTCCAAGGAGCATTGTGGCTATACTTCCTCCAGGACAGACCTGTTAGTTCTTTTAGAAGTCCACTGTACTTTCAGCATTCTTCACCAATACCACAGCTCAAAAACATTGATTCTTTTTCAGTCTTCCTTGTTCATTGTCCAGTTCTCACATGCATATGATGCCATTGAAAATACCATGGCTTGTGTCAGGCACATCTTAGTCCTCAAGGAGACATCTTTGCTCTTCAGCACTTGAAAGAGGTTCTTTGCAGCCGATTTGCCCAGTGCTATATGTCATCTGATGTCCTGACTGCTGCTTCCATTGGCATTGATTGTAGAACCAAGCAATGTGAACTCTTTGACAATTTCAATCTTTTCTCTATTTATCGTAATGTTGCTAATAGGTCCAGTTGTGAGGATTTTTGTTTTCTTTATATTGAGATGTAATCCATACTGCAGACTGTATTCTTCAATCTTTATCAGGAAGTGCTTCAAGTCATCCTCTCTTTCAGCAAGCAATGTTGTGTCATCAGTATATCACAAGTTGTTAATGATTCTTCCTCCAATCCTAATGCTATGTTCTTCTTCATATAGTCCAGCTTCTCAGAAAATTTGCTCAGCATACAGATTGAATAAGTATGGTAAAAGGATACAACATTGACACACTCCCTTCTTGATTTTAAACCAGGTAGTGCTCTCTTTTTCTGTTTGAACAACAGCTTCCTTGTGAATGTACAGGTTCCTCATGAGTCCAATTAAGTGTTCTGGAATTTCCATTCTTCTCAATGTTATCGACAATTTGTTAAGATCCACAAAAACGAACTCTTTTGCATAGTCTATAAAACACAAGTGAACATCTTTCTGGTATTCTTTGCTTTGAGCCAAGATCCATCTGACATCAGCAAAGATATCCCTCATTCCACGTCCTCTTCTGAATTCAGCTTGCATTTCTGGAAGTTCTCTGTCAATATACTGCTGCAACCATTTTTGAATTATCTTCAGTAAGATTTTACTTGAGTGAGATATTAATGATATTGTTTGATAATTTCCACATTCTGTGGGATCAACTTTCTTTGGAATGGGTACAAATATGGATCTCTTTCAGTCAGTTGGTCAGGTAGCTGTCTTCCAAATCTCTTGGCACAACCAAGTGAGTGCCTCCAGCAGGGCATCCATTTGCTGAAACATCTCAATGGGTATTCCATCAATTCCTGAAGCCTTGTTCTTCACCAATTCTTTCAGTGCAACTTTGACTTCTTCCTTCAATACCATTGGTTCTTGAACATATGCAACCTCCTGAAATGGATGAAGATCGACCAGTTCTTTTTGGTACAGTGACTCTGTGTATTCCTTCCATCTTCTATTGATGCTTCCTGCATCATTCACTATTCAAGGTGGTATCATTGTGGAAGTAGATTGCCCAGCTTTCCTTCCAAGGAGTGGCTGGTGGGTTTGTACCACCAGCCTTCTGGTTAGCAGTCAAATGCCTTAGGCACTATGCCACCATGATACTGCCTCAGAAACCCAAGAAGTGGTTGCTATGAGTTAGATCTGACTTGACGGCAGTGATTAGGTGTCAGAAGAATTAGGGACCATTAAAAAGTCATTCTCTTAACATCAGGGTTTCTTACCAATAATTGTATCTATGTGACACAGTGGTTGAAGTACGTGGCTGCTAACCAAAAGCTTGGTGGTTTGAACCCACCAGATGTGGTAGTCTGCAGTAAAGACTTACAGCCTTGGAAAGCCTATGGAACAGTTCTACTCTGTCCTTCAAAGTCACTATGAACCAGAATTGACTTGATGGCAGTGGGGTTAGGGTGTAATCCCTTAATCTTTATCCCTTCTGGCATAAAATATTAAAACATGAACAAGGACTCCTATTTAATTTTATTATGTCTATGTACTCTGCATACAACTTTCTCCTGTCTCCTCAATAATCTTACTTCATTAATCAACGCTACTTATTTTTGGTCATATATCTGTTTGTGCTACTGTCATGCAATCCAGGGCCAAGACAATAAAGTAGTGCTTCCACTTCCGATCTCAACAATCACTCAGTTTTGTCTTTAGTTTATTCCCAACCTCACTCATATACTACCTTTCTCCCACCAAGTTATCTTATTAGCTTATTAGCTATTTCCCTTTCCAACACATCCTTTCCTTCTATAAAATTAGGAGACAT